CTTGTGGAGGGGTATAACCCATCTCCTACATCTGTGTAGGATGGAGCTTCTCGTCAGGAGTTCATCAAGTGATAAAGCATTTTTGTTTTCTTATCTTCTCTTCAAACGGTGACCATAAAAGTTTTAACGGCTTGTTAGCAGACGAAAGACACAAATATATCTTTATGTGGAGCTTCACAAATCCAGCGATGTTGTATGTGCAGATACTAAATTGACTAGATTGTACATTGACTGACGGTAAAGTGTCAAAGGTTCTTCATATCACGCTTAAACATATGGCTACACATGTAACATTCATCTAAAACGGTGTACACGTTGCAAGAAAGCAAATGTGGTACTTTTGATCCTTAGCCAATCAGCATATTAGATACGATTAGGATTGAACTAAATTTGCTTTCAAAGTTGTAAAATGGTGGAGAATGGGTTTGTACATTGCTTCACTTGTATTAGCCTAATCGTTTTTCTCGATAAAAGATAAGTGGCACACAAAAAATGATATAGAGATTTTATGGGATATAGTGAATTTCATTTTGTTTAGGACATTTTGACTTTATCTCAGTATTGATGGACATAGGCTTAATTATTGATGAATTGTCATCATTAAGATATATGACAATTAATACACGAAACATACATCCAAATGTCAACTTATACACTTAATAGGAGAATAATCACCACAAACCAAGATCAAAAGATGGCCCATCAGTGGGCAAACCATCAGTCCTCTGATTGCCCAGATGAGGTTTCACCGGTGCATCTGTTGTTTTCGTTTCTGACCTCTGTTTAGACAATAGCAATGTCGCTTGCGCTTCCATGGCATCAAAGTCTAGTGTCGCGTAGAATGCATCATCATCGTCATCTTCATCTTTGTACTGTGATGCACCTGCATTGCTTTTCAGACCTTCATGGCTTTCCTTCTCTGTGGCTTGCGCATGGGCTTCAAACTTTTTTTCTAAGTTAATCACTGGGACATTCACCGAGTTGCATAAGCTGTATTTCCTTTTTCGGCTGTCTGTTGAGATTTGTACAACGGAAAAGTCTCCTGTGGCCATTGCATCCTTGTTTGACTCATTGTTTGTTGTTTGTGGGGTTCTAAGAGAAGACAATGATTTATCTGAGTCGCTTCTGCTCTCATATATTGCCTTCAAGAGACCAGAAGAATAGCTCGGACTTGATGCAGCTACATCACGAAATCTTGCCGGTAATGGTGATTGGCTGAGTAGAGAACGCCTGAGGAAACCATAGCTTAAAATTCTTAGTAAATTCATTGACCATTTTACTCGACCATTTTACTCGCAATAGAAAAAAGACTAGTTTAATTCTATATATACCTGTAAACGGCCATCATGTCAACTTTAGCACACTCGGCTTGAGTATTTGCTGTAGGCATTGTACCGTCATCAATGAAACTATCTTCAAATGAATCGCCGGTCAAATCTTCGTTCTCATCAACCGACATTTCTGATTCGGAAGACACCCTAATCAATAAGACAGGTTTAAACAAGTAAATGTCAAACTCTGTATTAAGGAATTGATTTGTGAAAGTAAGAAAGACAAAACAGATGGTTGTTTTTGGATTAGATGATAACTTACTCAGCTTCCGCATCAACGAAGATCCTAGCATTATTATCCGCGCGTATCTTCTTCTTGCCTTGAACTGAGCAACCAATTAGCAATCACTCAAACAGGTTAATGTAACAAGTGTTTCATTTTACATTTAAAAGATTTTACAGTCGCTAATACAAAAGCAACAGTACAGTGTAAAATTCGACTTAAATCTTCCGCATTAATGAAGATTCTGGCGATGTCAAGCTATAACAGGATCTTTGAATATGGGTGGTTGTCAAGTCTCAAGCTAGTTGAATGTAGTACAAGGAAATACAGAATCATTTTACCTCTTATGTTCTTTCCACCGCGAGAACCAGATCTGATATGGTCTGTCTTTGCAATACAAGGAATATTCTCCTTCACAGCACTCGAGCAATCTCCAAGTCTACGTAGCCTCTTCAACTTGCGAGGCTGTCGAAGAGTTCCTGACTTTTCTCCCGAACTCACGCGCCAATCTTTGCTAGCGCTGCTTACGTTCGTGATATTCGCCAAGGGAGTTCTCCAATCCTCAGGCATAGGAGAAACAGCGAAGCATCTTGTTCCGTTTGCTAAATCTTCTTCCTTCTGAGGAGTTATGAATTCATTGGCCGTAGAAGTAATGTGATCATCGCTGCGTTTATGTTGAACCTTTTTCTCAGGGGTAGATAGCTCTTCTGCCAATTCATTACTGAACCTGGTGGGTGAAGAAAGCTTCGGAAGATCAAGGTCTTCTTCTCTGTTTGCTTCGTTTGCTACTCCTGCAGCGTTAAAGATGTTATCAGAATACTAAGTTCCAAGTCTTTGTTAGCACAAATGGTGGATTTAAAGTATAATCAGCACTAAGACAAAAGGTATGGAAAAGCTTTTTAGATGTGTCAAAGTAAACATGTTTCTGAGTTTATTTTTATTACGGGCTCGAATTCCAGATGTTTTCATTGTTTTCCGAGTCATGTTCTTGTTGAAACTTAACTACAACAGATAATCATATTTTTCGTATTTATTAATGTATATATAGAACTTATCTCATACCGAAGTTATATATCTATTACCAAAGTCATGTGGTTGTAGCCAGTTGCAAGTTGCAACCGCAACCCCCAAACACTATGATTGACGCATTCCGTCTGTGTGAATCAATGGCAGATGCAAATACATTCAAGCAGATATGCTAGTCATTTATTACTATCTAGTTATATTTCCCATTCTAACCGATAGTAAATGTTCAGGATAAACACTAACCTTGGTCATAGACAGGTGAATCTGGAACAACGCCACTCTTGATGAAGTTAGTGAGCCTTGGACTAAGCTCCAAATCCTCACAGTCGTCTTCATCCGATGATATCATAATTTCTCCAGCACGATTTTCTATATCTCCTTTACCTACATCGGTGGAGTGCCTTTTCAAAAGTCTTTGGGACACCAAAGTCTTGTTGGCACAATCTGGCAAGAATCCTTCCTTTAACTTGCATGAAATATTATCTTGCCGATGTTTTGAGGAACTATCTATCGGAACAACGTCAATATGGGATTTATTCGGGGAAGAAAGTTCCTTTTCTCTTCCCGACAAAGGCACATAGTTTGACCCTGGTACATTAGAAGAGAATGAAAGAGGAACCGGAAATACAAAGACCTTCCCCAGAGCATCAACGGATGCACATTCTGAACTGAAAAGATAACAGTGTCTGGGTGAAGATGCTACGAAATCGTTCTCTGTAGTCTCTAATGTGCTTGTGGGAGATTCAACAACTTGTTTTGCCTTCCTCTGTGATATGTTGACATCCAAATCATTGAAAGAGGGTAAACCTGCACATTAATACAATAGAACGGGTGTGCTTCAACACTAAAAGGAAAGGCCTGGTTTGCAGATGTATGAGATGCAGAAGATACATGACAATAGCAATTTGTGGTTCTTTGATTCATTGAACTCTAGCATTTCGTAAGATTGAAAAACATCTAAGATTGATTTCAGGATATAAGTTTGGAACTTTTTACGATTCATACTACAGCTTCACGCATAAGAGTGCTGTTATTAGTCCCACATAAACAAGACCATAAAACTATTAGTCTATAAACATCTACATCCTATAATTTAGTGACAAATTTATTTGGGTTTGTGAGAAGTGACATGGATCTATATAGAATATGCGTCCAATAACCAAGGCTATTTAGAAAAGCACTACCTAAACAGAGCAGAGAGTACATTTCTAAATAGGCTCTTTCGACCATGTCGTCTGTAGACCTCCTACTAGCTAAGAGTAAATTATATCCATGCGACTGTTAGAATTGTTACTTGGGTAAGATGCTTGAAACTAAATTTACCTTTCGGATCATCACCAACCCTCAGAGCTGTGTCAAGCTCATCTCTTTCAGCCAAAGGAGCTCCATACTACCAGCAAGTGATTCCACGTAAGTAAAATTGAACAAACCGAAAGCAAGGAAATACCAAATTTATCTACCAGGATTACGATCCACACCTTAGTGAAGAAACTTTTACTTTGCTCTGTAAAAGTTGGCTCTTGCAGATGTTGCATAGCATCAATCAATATGCTTGTTTGACGTGAATGCATTACTTTGTGCACTTTGGATGGCAATGTTTGGAAGTGAGGGAAAGCAATCAAGGAAACTCTCCACTTTTCCTCGTCGGGTTTGAAATACTTGGCGAGCATGTCCATCTCTTCCGGTGAAAGCTTTTTCTTGAAAGCTGGAGTCTCAGTGGCAGGCTCATCTTGTAGCTTCTTTCTACGTGGAATGAATTGCTCGATCGAAAACTTAACATGCTGAACTTCTGGTTTATAAAAATGGGGAATCTACACATGACAAGAGTACATGAAGTTAAACACTGAAGCAAAAAAACAAAGTAAGAAAAACAATTTGAAAGAAGAAAGAGCTTTTAATAGCTCGTACCATCCTTGGACTAAGATGAAAATTGAAACTGTTCATTCCACCATTCCGCATGTGTTTTTTAATGGCCTGACCATTTGCTTGCTTTCGCATATAGCTATTCTTTTCAGATCCTTCACAAGCAAGAACTAGTATAAGCGAGTTAAGGAATGGAATAATCTGATATAAGTGGCACTGCAAGGATATGTAATGAAAGGGTAGGGTCAATCAAAATCAAGAAAGGATATCAACTCGGCCATTATTTTTCCTTCCAGTTCTTCCCATGCGTTGGATCATCCTCAGAGGGGATACATTAGCATCAAAACATATAACTAAGTCGACTTCCATGATATCCAAGCCTTCTTCACCGATAGATGTTGCAACAATAACATTAAACCCACCAGATCTAAATTTCTGTATATCACGCAAGGGATGGTTTAAAAACAAATCAAAGTTGAAACTTTTTCATTAAATCAGAGCAAGGGGAACATAAATACCTCCAAAACAGCCTGCTGAACTTTTTGCGACTGTCCTTTCAGTGTCTTACCTGCAAGAAACATCTACTATTAATAAAAGGGGGATATACTCCACCCTCATGCTGCCACGTCAGCAAAAATAATGCTGATTCGTGTTGGGCTTTTCGTTATGGGCTTGAAATTATAATTTTCTGATTGATTTCAACGGCCCATTTGGCCCAGATTCTGTGCGTGAAGCCTAACCCTAATTTGCCGTCAAAGTCGAAGTTCTTCCTTTCTTCGTTGCTCCTCTTCTGATTTGGTGATTCGATTTCTCATGGAAGTCGATTCATCGCTACCAAACCTTCACTCCATCACTCCATCCCCCTTTAATGTCTTCTCCCTCTTTAATGGTTTCGTTTCGGATTCCTTCTGATTCTATTTATATGATTCTCACTTTCCAACTTTTCCACACTCACAAACTTCTCAACCAAGTTCTCAAAACGATGAATCCCAAAAGCAAGTCCAACGGTCTCAGACGATCTTAACCCCATGCAGCTGACCAAAGATGGGCCTGATTCCGGTTTCTCTTCTGGCGAGTCTCAGAGACATGCATGTAAATCCGGTGACTCCTCCGGCATAGCGTCCAAAAAGAGGCAAAACTATTGTTAACTCCGCCGACGCCGTCACCGGTGAATCTATGACCAAGAAACGACAAGGGAAAGCGGTTGTCTCATCCGACAAGCATGATCATGTTCTGTTCTTCAGAGATGTTGAACTCGTGCCAAACGAAGAGGAGTTGAGATTTCGTTTGATCCATTTTTGGGAGGCCAAGAACCACACACCAAGACACTTCTTGGGCTTGAAATTCTCCTCATCGACGAACAGGAAAAGGTAGTGAGCCACAGCAATGGAAGTAGCCGTTGGAGTCATACCAATGGTTTTTTGAGATCTGAGCTTCTCTGATTATATATTCACGGATGTTTAAAGATTAGGCTGATGATGATTTTCAAATGATTTATTCGGTTGAAAGTGTTCTGATGATTTTTGTATGTGAATTTGATTCTCTCTTTATGTGATAGGAAGCTGTGCTAAATATAGGATTCTATGCTACGGAAAGGTGGTGTTATGACAGATATCTATAAGCTTTGTGATGTCGATCTCAAATATTTCAGTGACCAAGGTAGTAGACTCCTCAAGAAGTGTATTGTCAGCTTCCTTTTATTCAAATCCACCTGATCTTTTTTTCTTCCTTTTTCCTCGGTATGGTTTTGGGTGATAAGCAGCATATGGAATGCAACAAGGTTGTCTTCTCAGAAGCTATCCAGCAGACTTAATATTTGACAACACAACAGGGTACAGTTTCACATGTGTTCTGAATATGGAATGCAACAAGGTTGTCTTTTTTTTTCCTTTTCCGTCAATGTCTTCTTTGTCTCTTTGTGCTCCTGGTAAACATTTTTCTATTTACCTGTTCTATTCTGTGTATAAACTTTTAGATTGCAAAAAAGGATTTTTTGTTTAGTCTGATTCAGTTTAGTTACAAATCTGCAGAGATGTCATTACCTGCCTTACCAACATCGCAGCAGACCCATAAAAATCACGGTAAGCATAGTTACTTGCAGTGTAATCTTTTGTCTTACAGCATATTAAGTAAAATACAACGTTAAATGCAATAGACCTCAAAAGACTGTAATTGCAGGGTTTCACGATGACGCGTTTGGAGTGTTGCGTCTCATAATCATTTTGTTCACTTTGGTGTATGGTGTTGTTAGACATCAAAATGAGATTTAGGAGGTTTTTTTTTGTTTTAGTGAGGACGTTGGATAAAAACAGTGGCAAGCTCATTTTGTATTTTCTTCTGTATATGTTTTGTTGTTAACAAGGTAAGGGGTGATGTAGTAATATATCTTAGTAGTCTCTCTCTCTCTCTCTTTTTTGTATATATATTCTTCTTCTCCCCATGTTTGTTCTTTTTAGTTTTTGTTCGGTCACTCATTTGACTGTAACATATGAATTGATTAACTGAAGTCAACAAGATTCCAATGTCCGAAGCCGCTCAAAAAGCTTCCGAAAATTATGAAGACCGCAGACAGTTTTCTGATAATTGAAAGCACATAAAACGAAAATGTAAATTAAAATCAAATCGTAGCCAACCTTGCTCCTTTTCTGTCCCTCTCTATCTGGCTTTAAAAGCTCAGGCTCCCACATCTGTGTCTTTGTATTGAACAGCGTTATGGCCTTCTTAAAGTCATAACTACAGTTAGGAATGTTAATTAGGGGGCTTTTCATTAGCAGGCCTACAATTTTACCACCTTATGAAAATTATGCTATTATGTTTGGCTTATTCTTGGATTTATTCCTAGGGATTCATATTCAGTCTTTTAAAAAAATATATATTGTCAACTTATATTATGTTTTCAAAATTTTTAAAAAAAATTATAGTTATAAAAAAATATAAATTTTAAAATATTTTTAATGCCGTTAACAAAATACTAATTAAACCCTAAATTCTAAATCCTTGAGTAAATCCTAAGCCCTCAGATAAATCTTAAACTTTGTATCAAAACACTTTAACACTAAATCTTAAAAACACTAAACCCTAATGCTGACTCCTAAATCCTTGGATAAAAATAAATAAAAAATAGTGATAGTTACTTAAAAAAGAGAGTTTTTAAAAATATTTTTAACACCGTCATCAAAACATTAAATCCTAAATACTAAACACTAGATCTTAAACACTAAACGCTAAACCTTTGGATAAACCAAAAACCCTAAGATTTACAATTTATCCAAGGGTTTAGTGTTAGGATTAAGGGTTTAGTGTTTTAAGATTTAGTGTTTAGTGTTTAAGATTTATCTAAGGGTTTATGGTTTATCCAAGGGTTTTATGGTTTAGGATTTAGTTTTTTTGCGAAAAGCGTTGTAAATATTTTTTAAAACAAATTTGCAACCTTTACTATTTTTTATTTATTTTTACCTTTTTATTTTTAAAACATAATATAATTTGATAATATTTTATTTTTATTTTTAAAATATATTAAATATAAAATAACACAATCCTATTTTTAAAATGTTTTCTCTTATTTTAATCCTTTGTTTTTAACAAGCTCCTGTGGATGTGGTAAAGGTAAGATCTAACAATTCTTGCGAGACAATTCTTCTCATACCCCTAAATTTCATTCTCTAATCTCTCTATGACACATTTCTTCTTTTAGTTTTATATGTTAAACGAAAAATCATAAAATTAAAATGGAAACGTGAATATTTTTTATTTGATTTATAGAATTTGATAAAAATATTTCAAAAATCCAAAACGTTTTTTTCATATTTTCACGAAAATCATCAAAATATGATTAAAAAAAATTTCAAAATAATTTTTTTCGAATTTGAAAGCTATAGAAATTAAATATTTGCCCATGGGTTCACTCATCCATAGGGGGGTTTGTTTAGTTTTGAACATCTGGAGGATTTAATTTGGGGGTTTAGGTTTTGATCAAATAAAGAATTATGAAATAGGGGTATAAAAGATCATATGAGTCCATAGGAGATTAGCTCTAAAAAAATAGGGGCACAAGAGAAGTTGACTCAATTCTTGCTTCAATATAGATAGAATGATTTAGGAGAATGGAACCTCGAATACGTATGACTTGAACCATATAAGAATCAATCCATAAGCCGAAAGATAGTTAAGTAAAATGATCAAGGCATGGACGATTAGACTGAAAGTATTATATTGGTTTTATTACACCAATGGTTAATTTAGTATATTCCGTTGCGTATGAATTGAAATGATCTATGCTATGGAATGACTAAGATAGTTTTAAGCTAAAATCCAAGTTAGTCCTCGCCTATGAGCGATATTATAGATAAATAGCAAAAAATTTAGAGGTTCCACCAGGAAGTGTACTGAGCGACGTAAGCGTTCGACTGCAGTCTGAGAGGCCGGGATCGTGTCTTACAAGTTGGTATCAGAGCCATGTCAAGCTACTTTTTTTTTAATTTTTTTAAAAATTGTAAACACTTAATAATCACTAAGTTTCTCATATTTTAAAAATTGAAAATATGATCTAAACTTAAACTATTTATTCAGTTATCCGCGCGTAGCGCGGAGAAAGACCCTAGTTCATTGTAAAAATTATAAATGATACTTTTGAGTAATTGAAAATTTCAGGTGTAAATAACAAACCTGAACTTTGACCAATAAACTCAGTTGCTTTGACTACATCTCCAATATTACTTAATGCGTCCATTATGTCTCTGAAATGAATGAAGTTACGTAAATGCAAAAGAAGAAACGTGATAGTAAACAAGGGAACAATAACAACGATTATACAGACCTTACGCTTCCTCTGAAATTCGAGAAAATAATGACCCGTGATGTCCTTGGATCTTTTATATCTGCAACCATAGAATAAAATCATATCAATATTCAATTAGCTGAGAACTAACAACAGCGCCTGATCAAGTCTAAAAAGAAAACATACTGTAATGATCAACTAGAATCTCTAACATCTTGGACAATTTCGGGCTTGGTGCTCCGTTTGACAACCTTTGCTGCATTAAAAGCTTCGTCATCCTAATATCTTCATTCCTACTCATCAACCTAGCAAATGGCCTGCAAAGAGTGATAGTCTTAGAGCAACTTCTTAGTTGACAATGCCCTTGACATTGAAAGTAAAAGCATACCCTTCCTGCAGTTTTTCTTCAAGCATCTCATACGCTGGCCTTATTCCATGACTAGAAAGAAGCTTGCGGATGTGATAAAGAGTGATCAGAGCTGCAAAGCAAGATTCTACATCTCCATGACTTATATGGGGAATGCCTGGTACAGGTGCTTCACGAAACCTATCCCTTGCCATAAGTAATTCGTGTGGACTCAACTGTCAAAACATGAGATGACATGACCATTATTGACGCTAGTGGTGAGAAGACAGATATAAGGATTGAGTCGAGGCATTTACAGTTTGATAATCCCTGCTTAGAATGACCCCGAAATTTTTAAGCCTGACTGCATATGGACGTATAACATATAATAGGCGTTTAGATACCTCATCTGCATCTTTACCCAAGGGGACCTGCTCTGCCACAAAGACAGCTACAATTATTAGAGATGAATTTGGAACAGATTTTGAGAAACGCAGGAACGAGCTTGAACCTCGATTAGTTCTAATTTTCTGTCGTGGACATAAGGGCAGACATCATGGTCACTCTCGTTTCTATATTCAAGTGTTGATATCTGCAAATTATCAATGATACCCTGTATAGCTTGTGTCTTTGCTGAAAATGACATCCAACAAGGTAATGAATGAGGAGATAATGATAAAATAACAAAAAACGAAAAAGAATCAATCACTTACATCCAGGAGTTGCAGTAAGAGCCAATATTCTCAACTGCACTGGTACTGCCATCAACTAAAAGTTAAATAGGGAATTAATTTGGTACGTTTATGTTGATCATTTTCACATGAATGAAGAAGGAAGAAACACATAACAGATGGTACAAGATATAAGCGTAGGGAAACAAACCTCACGAACTACAACACAATAAGAATAATTCCCTAAAGCTCGATGTGCCTCGTCAATCACCAAGCAAACCAAGCAGTTGGTAAGACACGTTCCTGAAAGGGACGGTTTTTGTTATAAGTATACGAACAGATTATGAGGTTTTAGCTCAGATGTTTTGATAGAAGAAGAATCAGAGCATCACCTGACTGTATATCCTTCTCAAGAACTTGTGGAGTGACGAAGAAAACCCTTTTGCTTTTCCACAAGGAAGCTCTTTTGGAAGGGCATGTCTGACCCGTCAAGTCAATCGTCCATTCCTTCAGTAAAGGAAACCGAGATGAAGTAAGCAGATCCTTAGTATCATTGTTTGTGGAAGAGAAAAAAAATGGCATACTTGTGGTATCCCAACGATATTATGACACGCCTCAATCTGCTGCATTACAAGAGGCCTAGAAGGTGCCGCAAAGACAATTTTACCTGGCAAACAAACAGTTCAAATCGAGAGACTTCATGGAGACAGAATGGGAAGCAGAGGTTTGTTCTCTACCTTGTGGAAACCATCTGAAGTAATTATACATAACGACTGCAGCTATGAGCGTTTTACCAAGTCCTGTTGGTAAAGCAACTAATGTGTTCGAAAACAAAGCAGTCTTGGTTATAGCAAACTGGTAATCTCTTAGAGGAACGTTCACTGAAATAAAAAAGTGAAAATACAGAAAGCACAAGTTATGTCAAAAAAATTGTAAACGGAATCATGAATTGAAATAAAGTCTTCAAACCTGGATAAATCCAAGTTTTAGCTGTCTCAGGATCAATCCCAACGCTGGGACTGTTGTCGTTATTACCACACTCGAAAACAACTGGAGGATCCGGCGGAGGAGGTTTGTGGTCGGCTCTTGCGATGAATCGATCGAGAGTAGATTGTCTTTTGGCAGGAGGAGGTTTAATTTCATTGTCCTTGGTGATATGGGTCGAAGAAGAAGGGTTTAACGATTTGAAGCAAGCCAAATCGATTTCTCTGACTGCTGCTTCCCAATCGAACTGCGAAAAACAAAATAACTTTAAGGAAATCTGAGTTGACCAACAAAGAGATTCGGTGGTAACTTACTCCATCTTCTTCAACTAGTTCGATCGGAACCTCGGGTCCCATTTCACTTGATGCTCTGTTTTAGTTTAGGGTGGATCTACGCCTTCTTTTCTCCGCAATTTGGGAAATGACAGCGTTTCTCGAATTCAGATTTAAGGTTGAGTGTTTTGTGGAAGCGACATAGAGATTGGCGGGCAAACCCAATTTTGGAGGAGGGAGCTTTAATGAGATTTACTATGTAAATGTTAAATCCCAATTCTCTTAAAAAATCGATATGTAGCCGTTCGTNAAAAAAAAAAAAAAAAAAAAAAAAAAAAAAAATTCAATATGTATATGAGATTTACTATATAGAAATTGTAGAACGTGGATCACATCCCTCCACTAATGTCCATGAAAAAGCATATCCGACTCATTATAAGACAATTTTGATGACTTATTCGGCGACTAACAGATCGGTTCAGTGTGGGACCGCCTTTAGCCGAGTAAGAGCCGAGCCTCCGTCAACCATGATGATTAATGACTAAGGGAAAGGCGGTTAATGAGTCCGGTACTAGCGGGTCAAGCAAAGGCCCATTACGAAAAGTCTCCTTCTACATACCGTTCTAGATCAAAAGAAAAGAGATCATGCTCTAAAAAGGAAAGGAAGCACAACAAGAAAGAGATCCGAAAATAGATTGATTAGGCGGCAGCTTAGTTTAGTCTTTTCCTCTCATCTTTCGGTTGTTTCTCCGATTAGTCCGTACACCTCCGGTTAAGCTTTCCGAGCACCGGAGTTACTCTTTGTACTATTTTCCGACTATAAATAAACTATCTTTTCTCGTATACTCGTTCACACCTTCGTAATAATCCACCGACGAGTTTTATCGATCATCATATTCGTTTATCACCAAACTCGGTTCAAACAGTTGGCCCACCATGGGGCCAAACGAAGTAGTGTGACGCAAGCATATACCCGAAGAACCTCCTTCGGACGTTCAGCCAGAAGAAACCCCAACAGTCCCGAGCGTCGAAACCTTTATGGATTCTGTCATACCTCGTCTCGTTCAACAGGAAGAAGCTCAAAAAGCGACAAACGAGCACCTCGCCGCTATCGCCGCCATACTCGCAAACCCTGACGACGCCGCATGAAACCTTTCGACGGCCCGACGATTTCTTTTCAACAGAAATCCTACCCCTACTCTGGCTAACCAGCCCATCATGCCGACCGGACTTCCGGATGACTTTGCACAACCGGGTAGCAACCCAGATCTGCAAACTATTCGAGAAATCGCCGAACTGAAGCTCTCGCGCCAAGAAATTCACTCCAAGATCCATCATGTCACGAGCGCTGCACCACAAATCGATAAGGTCCTCGCCACCGCGCTACAAACCCCCATTTACCTGCTATATCACAAACTTACTGCTGCGTATCACGAAAAGTCCGCTTACCAACATTCGGCGGAAGCGATGACCCGACGGAGCACATGACGGTGTTCAACATCGCGATGGGCCGAGCCAACTTTACTGACACCGAGAGAGACGCTAGCTTCAGCCAAAGATTTGTGGAGAGTCTCGACGGGGATGCCCTGAATTGGTTCTCTCGACTACCTGAAAACTCCATCGATAGCTTCCGTGACTTGTCCACGGCCTTCCTCAATCATTACATCATGTTTATCAACCAGAAAGCAACGACTTCCGATTTGTGGAAACTCTCCCAACCTCAGGGACAGAGCTTACGTAAGTTCATAAAGAAATTCAAGGCGGTTGTCTCTAAAGTCGAAGTACCTGATAGCATTGCAGTAGACGCCCTGCAGAACACCCTCTATGTTCACTCGAAGATCTGCAATGATCTCTACCGCAACCCCACAACATCACTCCAGGATGTCATCGCTTGCTCCAACAACTTTATCTGTATGGAAGAAGATACCAAAGCGATCGTCAGCAAGCAGAATCCAACCAAACCCGCGGCGGGTAAAAACACCGCCTCAAAATCAGAGCCAAGACAACACTCGGCTGACGATAGACTGCCGAAAAAGAAAAGCTTTGTCTACATAGTTGACTAAGATTCGCTTTCCGATTCGACAGTTGTGGTCCACGGGAAGGGATGGAATCACTATCACCGAAAGGAGGAGAGTGACCAGCGCCAACCGTCTCCGGAAAGATCGAATGCCGAGGAACCAGAAGTGTACTGCTCATAAAACAAGTCGAAAGCACACAATTCTAAAGACTGCAAGCAACTTAAGGAAATCCTGTTAAGGAAATATGAAATACGCGCGAGGCGAGATCCCAACTGACCCGCCAAAGCCGCATTCTAAGGGGAACAATAGCTGAAGCAAGAATAAAGATAGGAGGTCACATAAATTTTCTGGCAAGCCAAAGCAAGACGATCCCCAGCCAAAGGGAGACGGATCGGGATCCCATGATCACGAAGACGCATTCCACGAGGAGGAGCAGCCTAAGAACAGGAAGAGGATATAAGTTATCCTCGCCAGTCATGAGACATCATCTGACGACAAGCCAGACCCCCGCGACTTGCGTACATTTCTCAATCGGTCGGAAGCTCGCCCAGTAACCCCCAGCCTAGCTGGCGCACAGGACGCCACAGATTTACGCAGCAAACTGAACTCTATAACAAAGGCGATCTCTGAGAAAAACTCAACAGATCGAACAACATTGATCTACGGAAACATTTGAACCATGTCAGGTCCGTAGCAACATCCCAGGCAGACATGAAGTCCCACCAATCTTTGCTAGCGCCGAATGCTCCCGTGTCAGCAGTCGGTGATCTTCGGTCCCAACTAACCCGACAAACTTCAGGCAGATTATACTTCATCATGGGAGGATCACCACCCTGCAAAGACTCGGTCCGATCCGTCAAAGCCCGCCAACGGCAGGCGAAATCATCCAAATAAGGGCCAGCTACACCAGCAAACGATCATCCGATCACTTTCTCGGCCGAAGACGCTGTAGGGGTCCATATGCCTCATAACGATCTGTTACTCGTTGAGGTAGGCATCACATATTGTTAAGTGACCAAGGTATTAATACACACCGGTAGCTCGGTCGATGTTATCTTTTGCAGTACGCTCAAGAAGATGAGAATCGATCTCCGCCTTATCAAGCCGTCCACTCGTTCGTTAACGGGATTCAACGGAGTATCCGAAGAAATGCTCATCACGATCCGTCAACCCGTATATGCTGGGAGAGTCGCTCGCACAGTTAAATTTTCCATCGTCGGTACAAGCGCCCCGTATCATGTGATACTCGGGACTCCCTGGCTACACTCGATGAAAGCGATCTCGTCCACCTATAATCAATGTGTTAAGTTTCCCGATGCGGGCAGCCGCATCTGAACATTGTGTTGCGATCAAAAAGCAGCACGCGAATTACTCGTAGCGGATATCAAGCAATCAACACCTCGCGTAAACACGGTGGCAAAGCTAATACATAAAATCTACCCGCAGAAAGAAGATGTTCTAGAAGTTCAGATCGACGACAGTGACCCGAGCAAAATTGTCTGAATCGGCGCTTACCTCCCTGAAGAGATGAAAAGCGTTATCATCGAATTTCTCGGGGCCAACAAGTCGACCTTCGCTTGGGAAACATCAAACATGAAGGGGATTGATCCCGCAATCACATCGCATTAACTCAATGTCAACCAAACCTTCAAACCAGCAGACAAAAGCGACGAAAACTCGGACCTGAACGATCAAAGGCAGTCAACGAGAAGGTAGAGCGATTACTCACTGCTGGCTCAGTTACCGAGGTCCAGTATCCCGAGTGGTTAGTGAACCCAGTTGTTGTCAAGAAGAAGAATGGAAAGTGACGGGTCTGCGTCGATTTTACCGACTTAAACAAAGCCTGCCCAAAAGACAGCTTCCCACTCCCGCATATCGATCGCTTATTCGATTCAACCGCTGGCAATGAAATCCTCATATTTATGGACGCATTCTCGGGTTATAATCAAATCACGATGCACCCCGATGACCGCGAAAAAACTGCCTTCATCACGGAACGAGGGACTTACTATTATAAAGTGATGCCTTTCGGGCTCCAGAACGCTGGAGCGACTTACCAGCGCCTCGTCAACAAGATGTTCGCGGATGAGATCGGACAAACGATGCAAGTTTATATTGACGACATGCTGGTCAAGTAACTTCGAACGGAGGACCACCCCAGATACCTCGAAGCATGCTTTAAAACCCTCAATGAATACTGTATGAAGCTGAACCCCGCTAAATGCACGTTCGGCGTCACCTCGGGCGAATTTCTCGGGTATATCGTAACCTAGCGAGGGATCGAGGCCAAACCGAAACAGATCTTTGCAATCCTCCATCTGCCAAGTCCGAGAAACAGTCACGAAGTCCAACGCCTAACCGGTCGAATCACAGCACTGAACATGTTCATCTCCTGATCCACAAACAAGTGCCTCTTGTTCTGCGAACTCATACGAGGAAATACGCGATTCGTCTGGGACGAGAAGTGCGAAGAAGCGTTTGCGCAACTGAAGCAGTACCTCACCACGCCACCAGTACTGTCAAAGCCTGAAGCCGGTGACATATTTAAGCTCAGGAATCTGAGCATGATGATTGGTGTGTCACACAGACAGGAGATTGTGTAACACACAAGATAGCTCAAGGGGTGTTTGAGCGTAAGGCTTATGTGTCACATCAAGTGGAGAGTGTGTTACACATGGAGCGAAATACAAGGGAGCCGTTTGGAAGATAATGACCCAAGATTCTAGGATGTTTGTTAGGCAACAAACGAGAAGATATTGGGAGAATCTTTGCTTATCACAATAGGATACATGAGTATATATTGGTGATAGAGTTCATTAGCTAGGTTACGGCTTTTGGGATTTTCATTGTTATCGAGATTTAGTGTTCTAAGCTGCGATTCTAGGTTAGCAATTGGTGAGGCGTGTCTCGACCTTTGTGCTTCGGGTAGATTAAGAATTGGTCCATCTCTAGTCAAGCTGTGAGGTAGAGTAAATCGGATAAGACAGATCTAGTGAGATTGTTTAAGTGATTCTTAATAAAGCAAGTTAGTTTTTCTTGGAAAGTACTCAAGTTATTCTTTTGTGGTATCCATACAAACTTTCATTTCGTATCAGAGCAGGTCACCTCTGTTGACGTGTTAGT